GGGGGGGGGGGGGGGGGTGCTCAATAAATGTTTATACGGGGAGGCACCACCCTTTTATATACCACTTTCACGAAAAAGGTACCCTTTTCGTATACCTTCTATTGACAAATGGTACCCCTTTAACATACCTTGTTTAGAACTTTGCGTCCCTTTTAACTGCTGTAAAAGCGCTCGTCTTTCAAATAGGAATCAATCACAAAAATTGAACTTAACGTTTTCTCGACTTTGTAAAGCCTTAAATTCATCTGTTACCCCTTTTGGGGTCCTTTCACAGACCCAAATGACAGATTTCCCACCCCTTTTATATACTTCAACTAGTAAAATCCCTACCCTTTCATATACCTGAAGCCTGGAAAAGATACCTGTTTCGGGCGGAGCCTCCCTGTATAGGTAATTATAGGGAGTACCCCCCGGGTCTTTAGTTGGTGTTGTGCAAGGGGGTTGGATGAAAAGAAATTATTGCAAAAGTTGGAATTCAAATCCATTTGAAGAGCCCCGGATGCAAGCTGCTATACTCAGGAATTGAAAGAGACATGTATATAATGAAGTTTGAAATTTCGTACGTTAACAGAGTAGCGAATATAGGTAGGGGTCGGAGGGAGATTCCGTGAAAAGCACCAATTTGACCAACTGTTTTGAAACTGGAAAAAGGCTGAACATTCGCATACCGCCTTCATTTGGTAGCTTACAATGGAACTTGTTTTGCACCCTCAATCATGATCAGTACACCTTTTTCAACCAACGGCTTGTTATATAAATTGACGAAATCTGGAAAAAACGTACAACTAAACCGACAAGAAGAATGTTGTGAACCTTTTTTTTTGTATGGCTTTTTTGTGAATGTTCCAGATGTCTGAAAGTGGCTCACATCTCCCATTAACACTGTAGGGAAAAAAAGGTAAAACGCAGCGTGTAATATACTATGTGAGGACCAGGTAGTGATATTGGGGTCATGTAAAGACGTTCCTTGACCTAGACTGCACCACACTGTGTTTCTGAGACTTGACACGCGCGTTTAATTTAATAGCGAGTTTAATTTAGTAGTTAAAATTGTGTCATCATGACATTAGTGGTCTACATAATTGACGTTGCCTCGTAGAAGTAAAGTGTAATGGCTAGAAAGGATGAAAATTATCAGCAATTAAACAGATTCAACAGATGAAATGAGTTGAACTTCGCTACTCGATCCTCTCTTATCTACCTCCTTTTTAAACCTCCTAGATCCAACCACGTGACCTACCCTGCTTGCAGAAGTTTGTCCGTTCCGGCATGGTTTTAAGCATTAAAGACGTAAAGAAGCCAACCACGCGAATGTTAACAACGAAAAAGACTTCATAAATGCTAAAAAACCATACTGAGAACACACCATTCTAGCCGGGTATGTTGTTACTGTGTAACAGTGGATTAAAATGGCCGAGAGTCTGGTTTCTTTTTTTTTTTTGTTAACTGGCTGGCAATGAATTCAATTTATTACTCGAAGTTCACGATTTGATTTTCCAGATGTGTTACGAACTGTACATGTTTTAAGGTCAATCTGATTGGTTCAATCAGAAAATAGCAAAGTGCCAGAAAACTGGGATAATTCATGGCATGGGGTCATGAAGTACAGTGGAATCTCGATAAAACCGCTGTATAATCACCGTCCCGGTATAATGTGAAGTACAAAGTACAGCCACACCCAGTTAATGCGAACAGTGATGGGACCATAAAAAGCGTCCGTATAAACGAGGTATCCGTATTAAGCCAGTTGAATTTAGAGAGAATATAAGGGCCTTCTTTTCCAAGGGACAAAACAAACTGTCCATGAGGTGTCCGTATTAAGCGGGTATCCGTAAAGGGGGTTTTGACTGTATGGAACAAGACCCCACAAGAGAGGATCTCTCTAACGTATACCTTCTTTTTACTTGAGGTAAGGTTTTTTTACACACGCTCGTTCTGAAACTTCGATCCATAAAGGTAAGTTGTACAGTCCCTAGGCCTCATTATTCCGCGCGGCCAAAGCATTTCGGGTCACGTGGTCCAAGGGAAAATGTTCGCCTCGGATACGTCATTGAAATGAATTGACCGATACGGACTGGGAAAACGCCGTAGAGGGAGTAGACAAAGTGCTAAGTACTATTTTGGAAGCAAGTAAAAATTGGAATATTGGTAGTAGGCCGAGGACGGGAGGGGGGAGGAGGGTGAGGGGAAGAGAAAGGAAAAACGCCTTCCGACAAAGCCTATGAGATTATCGAACACCACTCAAATTAGTTGCGCTTGATCTCTTTTCTTCAAATGTTTTATACAGCCAATGAAAATTGAGCTCGTTTTTACTAGAAGCCGAAATTACCTTCCGAAGTCAACAACATTGACAGGTGTACTTGATCAATTTTGGTGAATGTAGATAGCCAGAAATATAACGTTACGTCCAAGTAAGGTTTGTAAATATTATTTTAAAGTGAAGTTAAGGGGCCTCACTGGTAAAAAATAGTTCTCCTCGCAAAATCTGGTTAAGCCGTCGCAGTACAAAGATTCGTTAACAAATGTGCTTGCAGACGTTTGCCGTCAAGTAGCACTAATGCAGAGGTTTACTCGTTTCCTGTTTTTTAACTCTGTGGTCCCAAAACTGTCAGTTTGGCCATTTGTTCAAGGTTATCAACCTCACAACTTTTCCAACAGCGAGCGGTACATTTGAAAATTAAAGCATTAAAGGTCAGCTTGTGGCTCGAGAGCTGCCTCGTACCCGAGCGCTTCTGGAAGATTTTCTACGGCGCAACAGGTCACGGGAAGGACTTAAAAATAGGGGGCGCCGCATTCCTTTTCACGTTGAAACTTCCCTTGTGCCTTTGCGTTTTTGAAGCTTCTCGTGATCTTTGCGTCGCGACTACCGTCAAGAAGCGCGCAAATCCTCCGCGCGGAAGGACCGAAAAAACGTGGCTTTTATTTGCAGCTAGCAATCAAAATGCTACCGTCATCACCAATCAGATTCTCCGTCTATCCAGTGTAAGGGTTTGCCAAACGAACAATGACTGCGCGCAGGCGTATTTTTCCCTCTGCTCCCCTTTTTCTATTTTAGGCTCGTCGTTCCCTCGGCTTGCAGTCATTTTTGGCTTGCGTTAACCCTCTGTCAATATCATCATCCAAGATTGAGACAGAGCAACACAGAGATATGTCTGCTCTGCAGGCTACAGTATGTTAGGCTGGTTATTTACAAGCATTTACGAGAAACGGGCTCAAAAATAGCCGATACGGTTACTTGGGAGGGACAGGTTATTTTCGAATAGCCTGAAATCTCGTTATAAAGTAAGATTTTGTTCATTTCCTTGATATGAAAAATATGAGTGAAAAGTAATAAGAAATAACAGGTTAAACCTAGGACGTGAAAGCATTTCAAACCCTTGGGCAATAGGGGAGGGTTAGCGGTGGTTGCTATAACCCCTCCTTCCCCCATACGACGTCTTAGTCTTTAATAAGCTCACAGACGCAGGTTAACCCTAGGATATGGAAGCAAAATCCAAACCCTTCGGAATTATGGAATGGAGGTGGTTGCGATAATTCCCACATCTCTGCGTTTACAGTTTCAAATAATATTAGATATGTCCAGACCTTGATATCCCCAGTAGCGGACACCTTTGATTACACTTACGGCTTTTGAGAACCAAAGAATCTACTTTTATGTTATTTTCCACCCCAGCATTGCGTTCGCAAGAAAATCGTTGTTAGTCATATACAGAACAATTCCCAAAACAAAATCTTACTAAGAATATACAGAAATTGTCCAACGATTTATTATACTACAAATTAACAACATCTCAAAGACAATAGTTATTGATTATGATACTTAACATAAGTTTATGGAAATTTACATTTTACTTGCTAATACTAAGTCATTCAATGATATTCATTGAAAGATCTTAAAATTTAAAACGTAGCTATTGCTTATGATACTGATTGTCAGTTCTTCAAGGGTGAAGCCAGCCATTTTTTCCTTTTGAGCCCC